CCCTGAAAAATAGAAACATACCAATGAGCACCAAAATGAAAGTCCTGAAATGCTATGTTTGGTCAACCCTTCTATGTGGCTGTGAATGCTGGACAATCACTAAAGACAGTGAAAATAAAATAGAGGTAACAGAAATGTGGTTTCTTAGGAGACTGCTAACAGTACCGTGGAAGGAAAAGAAATCAAATGAGGTAGTGCTTGATGAAGCCCACGTAGGACGCTCAATGTTAAAAACAATCAGGAAACGACAAATGCTGTTTTTGGGACACCTGAATAGACATAAGGGTCTTGAACATCTAGCTCTCACTGGCAAAATTGAGGGCAAGCGAGGCAGGGGTAGGCCCAGAACAACATACTTAGGGAACCTAAACAAGTGGGTAACAGGGAAAGATCAGGGAAACTTGGCTTTTCTGAGAGCATCCGAGCAAAGGAATGAATGGAAAATCATGATCGCCGATGTCTGCCGCAGATCTGGCACTGGATGATGATGACAGTAACAACAGCCATTCAGTGCGAAGAAAAAGTAAAAAATACAGACAGACACAAAAGCTTTCATCTGCTTTCATCGTCACCTTCACTTCTGCCTCCCCCTCCCCCCTCCCCTTTATTTTCCCCCTTTCCTCTGTGCTCCGGAATTTGGCTATTGGTACTCCTAGCTCCTTCTCACTTCTGTCTTTGAGCAAAACAAGGGTAGGTAAGATCGAACACCTAGCCTTCTCGGATAAGGACGAATAAGTTTCGGAACTTCCGTGTGCAAATGGTGCACGTTAAAGATCCCTTAGGGGTCCAAATATCGATAACAGGAGGCTTCAACCGCCATCCGAGCAAAATTCTAAATAAAATACTACTAAAACAAAAACAAAAACCACTCAATATGAAAACAACCAACTTGAGTCCCGCGCGCTCATATACTCATAGTAATACACTGTATGACCTTTTGCAGAAGATCTTGCAAGCGCCCTGAAACTTTTACTCAAAGGTCATACTGGACTCCTGGAGATGAACAAAAAAATCTTAATTCAACCTGGCTGAGTGGAGTGAAAAGGTACCTAAAAGAGAAAGCTCATTTCAGAATTTTGAAAAAGTTTTACATTTCAATTTGCAAAACTTGCACCATTTAGAAGGCGGGCTGTTTCAATCTTGCCATAAGGACCAACCCAGGCTGAGTGGGATACAGCATTCCAACTCAAACTCAAACTCAAAGATGGAAATACGTACTAAAATTAGTAACTAATCCGCGCATGA